CGCCCAAGCTGCTGCGAGCCCCTGTGTCCTGGCCCCCCTCGTCCACCAGCGCCTCCCTTCCCCCCACCTCAAGTCTTTGGGCTCCAGCTGGGCCTTGCTGAGTGGGACCCTCCCAACCTCCCCACTCCTGAGCAAACCTGCGAGCCCCTGTGTCCTGGCCCCACTCGTCCACCAGCGCCTCCCTTCCCCCCACCTCAAGTCTTTGGGCTCCAGCTGGGCCTTGCTGAGTGGGACCCTCCCAACCTCCCCACTCCTGAGCAAACAGGCAGACCCTCCGCCCTGAGAAACCAAAGGGAAACTGAGGCAGGCACAGGCCTCATAGGTACAGAAAAGCCCATCTTTGTCACAGCTGGTAACCCGTGCCCCCTGCCCCCCAGAACCTCTGACCCCCCCATTCCCGTCCCTCCTCGATGCCTCCGCAAAGCCCCTGATTCTGCTCCTCCCGCCCCCTAAATCCCCCCTCCCTGTTGCGTGACCAGGTGGGATCCCTTTAACAGGGACCCCCCGATGGCTCTGGGATTTGTCTGTGGGTCGGGGTGTCTGGGGGGACTGGCGGTGATGCAGGGCTCAGGGCGGGGAGGCTGGACAGGATCAGCACCCTGAGGGGACCCCGAAATTAGGGTGGCCCCTGTGGGATCCAGGAACCTGGGAGTGAGGATGGGGGGACACCCCCAAACTAGACTCAATGACCCTCGGGGGGTCTCGGTTCTGAGTAGATTTTATTTGGATCAAGAATCTGTTACACTCTTGGGGGTGAGGGGTGCTCCACAACCCCTGGCTCAGGGGGGCCCCCTTGGCAAGGGGAAACTGAGTCAATCAAGATGGCGGCGGCAGCTGCTGTCACGGCAACGTCTTTGAAAGGGGAAAGGTCAGAGGTCAAGGGAAGGACATGGCAGAGGTACAGGGAGATTCAGGATGATGAAAGTTTAAAGGGGGTCAGAGGTCAATGTGCCAAGGAAGCAAGAGGTCAAGATGGGGGAGGTCAAAGGTCAAGAGTGCCATAAAAGGGCCTGAGGTCAGAGTGGTGTGAGGTCAAAGGGGAAAGTGCAGGAGTTAGAGGTCAAAGTGGACACGGCCCCGTCCAGCGGTGAAGAGCGGGTCAGAGGTCACCCCAGCCACCCAGCCTGGGTCAGAGGTCGCAGGCTCAGAGGTCATGTGGTCATGTCTGAGCTTGTGGGGTCAGAGGTCATGGGGTCAGATTTGAGGTCGGGTCGGGTATCCTGAGGTTGTGCTGGAGGTCGCGGAGTCAGAGGTCATGTGGTCAAGTCTGAGATCGTGGGGTCAGAGGTCATGGGGTCAGATTTGAGGTCGGGTCGTGCGGGGTCATAGGTCATGTGGTCAAGTCTGAGATTGTGGGGTCAGAGGTCATGGGGTCAGGTTTGAGGGCGGGTATCCTGAGTTCGTGCTGGAGGTCGCGGGGTCAGAAGTCGTGGTCAAGTCTGAGCATGTGGGGTCAGAGGTCATGGGGTCAGGTTTGAGGTCAGGGGTCGGGTATCCTGAGGTCGTGCTGGAGGCGCGGGGTCGGAGGTCGCGGGGCTATTCGCAGGCGAGTTTCCCGTCGAAGCTGGACAGGCAGACGGCGAAGGCCTGCAGGGCGCACAGGGGGGCGCGATAGTCCATGGTGAAGACGTCGGGCGCCACCCGGCCGAACTGCAGCATGATGTACTCGGCTGGGGGGAGGGAGTTAGCGTGTGGGGCACAGGGCCCCGGCTCCTGCTCCCTGCCCGAGTCCCCCGCTCTCTGCCACCGACACCCCTGCTCCCCACTCCCAAGTCCCCTCTTCCCTG